TTGTCCCCGTTTCACGTTTTTGCGTTTATACGTGAACGCATATACGTGAAACGAGAAATATGCTAAGCGTATAGTGCAACATAGACCGGCAGCACTGGGCCCACATGTTTCCTCACGTCCTGCGGGGGACTTGCCAGTGGAAGAGCGCTCTAGAGAATAGCTTCATCACAAGCAGCCTTCCTGTGAGGCCTCTTAAATCAACTCGCAGTTTCCCCTGACCAGCCTGGCTACAGCGAGGAGGATGGGGTTGCCCATACAGCGAGGAGGATGGGGTTGCCCATACGCCCAGCCAAGCTCACCTCATTTCCAAACCTCCTTGCTCACAGCATGGCACGGAGGCTGTTCAATGCAGGCCGCCAGGACCATCCACCTACTGCCAGCCATGGTGGCACTCCGTGGGTGCCAGGCAGTGAGCCTTCTCATCAAGGCGAGCACAGCTTTTGAAGTAAGGTCGTGCCATAATCATGCGAGGGACGCGGCAGTCGTTCACAGACCAACCGTGCAAGCCACGCTCTTGCATACTGCACGTTGAAAGAATCTCAAGTGTTATCCTCATTACAAAGAGTGTGGGTACTGTCAAAATAGTGAACGAATGAATGAAACAGGAAAGAGGAGTTTCACTAGCAGGCAATTGAGTACATATAGCAAACCCTAAATTGGGTTGTACTCACTATTGAGTACCCCACTGCAGGCTAGACAAATATAACATTCTGACACACCCCCATAGCCAAAGTAGGGTGTAATAAGCACAATAAGCAGGCAGAGCAATAGTTCACAAATATAAGCAAAGCTAGAAGCTATCACAGAGGGCAAGTGTGAAGGAGGAGGGACTATGAGAGGAGAGGAGGTAGTGGGCAGTAGCTGAAGCTGCTGGCACACGGCGCAATTGGAGCAACTGGCACACGGGCAACTGGAGCAACTGGCACACGGGCTACTTGAGTAATTGGCTCCGCGGCTAACTCTGAGCGGCAGCAGCAACGGACCCACGGGCAACTGGAGCAACGGGCTCACGGGCAACTGGAGCAACGGGCTCACGGGCGACTGGCGCAACGGTCTCACGGGCGACTGGAGCTGCTGGCTTCACGGCGGCCACCCCCCTTCAACCTCCCCAAACTGTCCCACCCCCTTTTCACACACCCCCTGCGGCACCTCTAGCACTGCTCACACGCCACCCCCTTAGTACCACTCCGACGGCTCCCACACATCCACCCCCCTAAGCGGCAGCTGCAGCAGTGGGAGACGGAGGAGGAGGAGGAGCAGGGGAGGCCGCACACACCCGTCACCCCCATACTCGCCACCCCCAAACCCGAACACAAGCAGCACGGGGCGGGAGCGGGTGCGCGCACGGCAGGGCAGGAGCGCGCGGGCCTGGCGCAGGCTGAACGGGCCGCGCATGGGCCTGGCGCAGGCCGTACGGGCCGCGCGCGGGCCTGGCGCAGGCCGTACGGGCCGCGCATGGGCCTGGCGCAGGCCGTACGGGCCGCGCGCGGGCTGTACGGGCCATGGGTCCCGGGGGCGCTTCGACGGGCGACGGGGGGCGACGCGGAGGTCCCCGAGGGCGCTTCGACGGGCGACGGGGGGCGACGCGCAGGTCCCCGGGGGCGTTGCGACAGAGCAGCAAACCATCCGGGCAGGGCAGAAAACCGCCGCGCGCCCATGGCGGGCGGCAGGCAGAAAAATGGCGCGCGCCCGAGGCGCGCGATAGGCAGGACAGCAGCAGCGGAAGCTAACGGTGGGCCCATGCACTGGATCGACCCGGGAGGGTCGACCTGCTCTGATTCCATGTCAAAATAGTGAACGAATGAATGAAACAGGAAAGAGGAGTTTCACTAGCAGGCAGTTGAGTACATATAGCAAACCCTAAATTAGGCTGTACTCACTATTGAGTACCCCACTGCAGGCTAGACAAATATAACATTCTGACAGGTACATATAGAAGATGAGAAGTTGGGAACTAGGTGGGGTACCATCAGCATTGTTGGCGGACCAATCAGATTGGGACGCCCAATAATTGCTGAGGTAACAAACAATTTTTGGAGGGGAACCATTATTGGCTCCCCCCATCAATTGCGGTCGAGTTGGGTTTGGGGGCGCCCAACCAAAATTGGTTGGGTCGCCTTGACCCAAATGTACACCCACGTTAGGGTGTAAAACTTGCACAAATATAAACATACATTATGCTATATTCTAACACACTTACTGTCCCACCCACCCAGCCGTGAACCATCCACCTAGTCCCCCCCAAAGCCCTCCCAAGCCCCTCTTGCTCTCTCTACCCCTTACTGCCCACTCTTCTTCTCAAGTCCCCCCATGCTCCGCTCACCTTGGCGCGTGCCGCAGTGAGCTCGCCGCGCACGATGGACACATTAGCAGCGGCCTTCTCCAGCACGTGACCGCCCTCCAGCACGCGTGTGATGCCGTAACCCGCCGCTGGGTTGCCGGGGTCGCGCTCCCACCGGTCCTCGATGAACGCCTTGCCACTGCCATCCCGCGCTGCTGCCTGTCGCACATAGTGCGGGCGGTGGGGGAAGGGGGGTTTCAGGGGGAGGGAAAGGTGCAATGAGTGCAGAGACGAGAGCGGGATGGCAGGGCAGGTGGCGAGAGTGGCGGCACCGGTGCGTGCAGGTGACGGGGGTTAGGGGCGACGTGACGTGGAGGGGCGAGAGATGGAGGGGCGAGTGGGACGATGGGCAGACAGAGCGGCTATGGGACGAAACATAGGACGTCGCCTCACCACATGTCACCGCCTTACCTCACCTCACCTCACCTCCGCACCTGTCGGCACGTCACGGCATGTCACGGCACGGCACGGCACGGCACGGCACGGCACGGCACGGCACGGCACGGCACGGCACGGCACGGCACGGCACGGCACGGCACCTGACCTGGTGACAGATGGCGGCCTGCAGGTCCAGCAGCAGCTGCTCGAACCCGCCCTGCGAGAAGGCCGCTGTGTCCGCCGCTTGTGCTGACGGCGCTGAGGGGGGAAGGCGGGGAAGGGGATGGGGGAACGGAGGGGAGAGTGAGGTGTGGAGGGTGGGGAAGGAAGGGGAGGTGCAGGCGCTGCTCGCAGGCAGCGCGGTGGCGCTAGGCGGGTGGCGGTGGTGCGCGCGATTGCAGCATTGTGAAGGGGACGCACGGGAGGACGGCGAGGTGGAGGGGAAAGGGGGGAGGAGCGACGGGAGGTCGAATGGAGAGGCAATTGGGGCGGGCAGGATCGGAAGTGTGTACGTGCGGGCTCACACGAACGGCTAAAGTCATCCACTGCGCTGCGGCAATGAAGAACCCCCTTTTGGCCCTGTTAACAGTTCATTAGGATCTCGCGTGTTAACAGTTCATTAGGATCTCGCGTGTTAACAGTTCATTAGGATCTCGCGTGTTAACAGTTCATTAGGATCTCGCGTGTTAACAGTTCATTAGGATCTCGCGTGTTAACAGTTCATTAGGATCTCGCGTGTTAACAGTTCATTAGGATCTCGCGTGTTAACAGTTCATTAGGATCTCGCGTGTAAACAGTTCATTAGGATCTCGCGTGTTAACAGTTCATTAGGATCTCGCGTGTTAACAGTTCATTAGGATCTCGTATTGGTCTAGGGGGGCGATATCGGAAGGGAACAATACGTCACATGCTGCCAGCTGCGTCGTGCACCTGCCACGTGGCGCTGTTCAACACTAGCGCGCGCGCCAATGCTCCCCCGTCGTGCCGGCAGCAGCCGCGGCTCGCCGCACCGCCGCACGGCGTCGGAGGCGGACCCAGCGGCGCCCATCGCGGAAACGTCGCTCCGTATTTGGCGCGTGCTGCTGCTAGCCGGCAACCGCAACACGGCGACGCGAGCGACGGTGTGCGATTGCGCGGCCGAGTGCGCAGCGACTCCAGTCACGCTCATCGCTGCGGTCGCCGCTGCCGCCGCGACCATGATGAGAGCAGCTGTGACGGCGCTGCTCAGCAACGGCTGGGCCGATAAGCGGTTGCAGCAGGGATGACGGAAGAGCTGCGATTAACGACCTAGTGCTGCGAGTCGTATGCGCCAGAAGAAGGCGCATTGAACTAGAGACACGAAAGATAGGGTTGAGGGCGGGTTCAAACTTCCGGGTCAACGGTATTTGTCGGGTGCACACGAAGTTGGAAACCAGCCGCTTTATGCCCACGTACTGGTTTCCGGATATTCCGAATGTCACGAACAACGAAGACCCAGTGTGTGGCTTTTTGTAGCGAAAAGCTACGGCGAAATTCTGCGAGGAGGAGAGAACAGGTGGACGCAGCAAAACATTCACTGCTGTGCTAGCCTGTAATCGGACCCGGGTCTGCACCGAGCTGGTGGCAGGGTGCTATTCTACCAAAACCACTGGCGCGTTGAACAAGCCCTCGATCATAGTTTAAGAAGAGGACGTAATAATTTGTAGCCAGCTAGAATGTTATCCAGCGCGAATTTGATTCAGTCGGAGGGAGGGAGAGCCTCTCGAGAAAGTCGGATTTGATTCACCCGCACTCGCTACGATGCGCGACCGACCAGCGAGAGCATGGTAGGCGTTCCCGAGAAGCCCATAGCGCGATGAAGATCAGTTAGAGGCGTGCAGCCGTAGAGCGACATCGACGCGCTGCGAGCATTAGCGACGCTGATATAGACGAGAGGCCGCCGTAGCGGCGAGAGCACGCGAGTGGAGTCGCAGCGGATTCAGGCGAAGAGCGTCTTGCGGAGGCGAACAGCGACGGGGGCGCGGGGCGGGCGGCATGCCCCGTGTGGCGCGAGGTAACGCACGATATTAAATCATAGGCGGACTCTTGGCGCGCAGCGGAAAGGGGGAGTGGGAAGGAGGGGAGGGAGGGGCGGAATGCCGCGTCTGTTTGTGGAGGGCTTCTTCCTGTCGTGGCTCGACAGCTACGAGGACGTGCAGAACGCCGCGCTCACGCTGCTCTACCTGCAGGTAACCTGGTAACCCGCTCCCGTTACAGGGAGGGTCCCATTCCACGTTACTGCCACCGCGAGCGAGGAGGCACGATGGCAAGCTGCTCGAGCCCCCGCTGCCTGCTGCTCTTGCACTTGCGCTCCCCCCTCCCCTCGCCGCTTCCCCGCTTCTTCTCGCCGTTTCCCCCCTCCCATCGCCGCTTTCCCCCTCCCCTCGCTGCTTCCCCCTTCTCTATTCCCATCGCCCCACCCCTCCTCCTCACCACTTCCACATCCCCCCTCGCCGTCTCCTCTCCACCTGCTCGCTGCGCTCCACCACGCCGCACTCCTCTGTCATTCCTTCGTTCCTCCACCCCCCAGTGGCGCCCTGCGTCCTCCCCACCCCATGCACCCCATGCATGCACGTGCCGGCACGTGTGCATCGGAGCGCATGCACTGGTGGATGGGCGCGCATGCACTGCTGGGTGGCCTCAAATCGCACCCATGCGCCGCTCGCCGCCCCTTTTCCACCCTCGCATGGGACTGGACTTGTACGCGCCGGACGCCTTCTGCTGCCTTCTGCTGGTGGATGGGCGCGCATGCACTGGTGGATGGTCTGACATGGCACCCATGCGGCCCTCGCCGCCCCTCGTCCACCCGTGTAATGGGACTGGACTGGACTGGACTGGACTGGACTGGACTGGACTGCTACGCGCCGGACGCCTGCGTGCACGCCATCAGACGCCTGCTGGCCCACGGTGGCCCCAACCCAACTACACGCCGTTGATCCGGCCAAGCCCTTCACTCTCCGCCCTCCTCGCCACTCCCCATCCCCTGCAGGCGTTCATAGGGCTACTGGGCACGGTGGGCCCCACGTACACAGGGGTCATCGTGGCGGATGTGGGCGTGGCGCTCTTCGGCCTCGTGGCCATCGCCAGCGGCTACCAGGCGCTGGGGCGCACATACGCCGCGCTGCTGCTGCTCATGCTGCTCCTCGACTCCCTCTGGCTCACCCTCTTCGCCCCCCACATCTGGTGCCCTCTTCGCCCCCCACATCTGGTGCCCTCTCTCTCCTCTCCTTCCCTCACATGCATGGTCACCTCCCTCTCTCAATCTACCTGTCTCCGAGCTCTCTCCCTTCATGCCTGCCTCCTGATTATGCTGGACCTGCCCTCTCCCCTCACCAATCCCTCCTGTCCCACTGCCAAACCCCACCCCACCCCACCCCGCGGCACGGCACGGCACGGCACGGCACCAGGAGCGAGGAGTTGACGGCGCCGTGGAGGCAGCACCCGCTGGTGGCGGCAGCAGTGCTGCTGGAGCTCACGTGCCACTCCCTCACCTTCGCGCTGCGCCTCCTCTCTGCCCTGCTCTGGCTTCAGGTAACTGCCCTCTTGGCTTCAGGTAACTGCCCTCTTGGCTTTAGGCTTTTGCTCTTGTGGTCTCAATAAATCAATTGTCTGGGCTCAGGTGCTTGTTTGGGGGTGAAGTGCAAATTCTTGAGGTTGTTACACCTCGTGCTTCGTGTGTCAGATGCCTGCAGCATCCAGCATGCACTCCCTCCATTCCGCCACCCCATCCTGCCTCTCCCCACTGCAGATGCTGCGCCTGGGCCTGGCGGACGGCAGGGAGGGCACGCCCGTGCCCAGCTCAGAGGTGCACGCCTACCTCCCTGCCTACGACAGCCTCGGCCCGTACCGCCCCGCAGGCTCGGCCACGCCGGACCTGAGTCCCACAGCAGGGCGGGAGCAGGCGGTGAGCGATGAGTTCGTGGGCAGCGCCATCTTCCACCCCTCGGCCTTCGCCACGCTCTTCCAGTCGGATCAGCTCCTCAACTACCTCTCTGAGGTGCGCCACTCCTCCCCTCTCCCTTCAATGGTCCTTCATTGATATAAGCATTGGGTACAACGATAGGGCAGACTGGTTGAATGAAGCTCTCTGGCCACCACTACCCACTCCCACTCACGACCTTCTCCCCTGCCACCCACTCCCTTCTCCTCTCCCTCTCACTCCCTTCTCCTCTCCCACTCACTCCCTTCTCCTCTCCCACTCACTCCCTTCTCCTCTCCCACTCTCCTTTCTCTCACACTCTCCCTCCTTTCTCACGCTCTCCCTTGTCCCCCACTCATTATCCTCTCCTCTCCCCTTACTCCCTCTCCCACTGTGCGAGTGGACAGGACGGCAGCAGCAGCGCGCCCAACAGCCTGGACAGCAGCTATGGGGGGCACCCCGTGGTCGCAGGCGCGGAGGACACCGAGGTGCATGGGTGGGAATGGGCGGGATGGGGTGATATGGGCTGATATGGGGTGACGTGATGTGATATGGGGTGACATGGGATGACATGGGGTGATAAGGGGTGATGTGGGGTGACATGATGTGATATGGGGTTATATGGGGTGACATGGAGTGACATGGGGTGTTATGGGGTGACATGGGGTGATAAGGGGTGATATGGGGTGATGTGGGGTGATATTGGGTGATATGGGGTTATATGCGGTGATACGGGTGGCATGGTCTGAGGCTTTAGACGGAATGAGATGAGGCCATGACGGCACGGGGGCTGAGGAGAGTGAGGAGGCAAGAGCGTTTCGGCTCAAGCGGGTTCAGGAGTGGCTAAGAGGGGTCAAGAGGGGTCAAGAGGGGTCAAGAAAGTAGTGCGCCCAGCAGGCTGCCAGAAGCATGATTTGGCTGCAGGGGAGAAGATTGGAAAGGGGATGTGAGGCAAGGAGAGGGCAAGAGACGGGGATGTGAGGTGAAGACAGGGCGTGTGACGAGACGGAAGGAAGGGGAGGGGGATGCTCTGATGAGCTGCTCGCCGTGCTCTTCACACTCTTCCCTCCCTCCTACCTTGCTTCCTTTCATCCATTTATTTGCACACACGCAGACACACATGCCTGTACTCACTTTAACTTGTCTTTGGCCCTCAATGCCCCGTCCCTGCCCTTGCCGTGCCGTCCCCCTGCCATCTCCCTGCACTTAACCTCCCCTCTCCCTGCCCTCTCCCTACCCTCCTTGCCGTGTGTGCAGCAACCAGCGCAGTCACCGCAGGAGATTCTGCAGCCTGTTTGAAACTCTTGCTTCCACTGCCCATGCTGCCGTTACTGGCCTTGAAGCCGAACCACCCTTAGCAGCCTTGCCTGAACAGGGCTTGGCCCCCAGTGTGTCGGACATGTACACATAATGACTGTCACCACAGCTGCTCTTAAAGCCAATCGCCACGTTCACTCACAGCTGATACGGCGTGTAGTGAGAGGAGGGACAATAGAGCATCGAATGTTGTGGCTCCCCATGTAGGCGGGCAGGTATTCAGACGACGACAACAACAACAACAACAACAACAACAACAACAACAACAACAACAACAACAACAACAACAACAACAACAACAACAACAACAACAACAACAACAACAACAACAACAACAACAACAACAACAACAACAACAACAACAACAACAACAACAACAACAACAACAACAATATCAGCAACAAACGATGTACGGCATGCCATTGAGCAGTCAGCCCGTACACACAACTACAGCAGCGGCATCATCGACAGCAGCCGCCGCAACAGCAGCATCAGCAGCCTCAACAGCTGCAGCTGCAGTCCCTGGTTCTTCAAGTCAACCGGGACACCAGTCTAACTTCGTTCCGACTGGACCTTACCAATATCAAGGTGCTTACCAACCAGCAAATCTTCAACAACGTGTTAATGCTGCCGTCTTGTCGCTTAACCAGATGTTTCCAACTCCGATGAGCATTGATGGCTCCAGTTATCAGCGTGGTCAGATGCCACAAGGAAGTGATGGGTCGAACAACTCTTTCTCCTTTGGTCCTGCTGGACAAGGACAACAAACACAACAAGGGTCACAAGTGCCATCACTCTATCAGCTACAATTAGCTGACGGTACAGGAAATTATATTCCTGCTTCTGCAAATCCAACAAAAATCAAAACGACAATGCCTTTTAACGGTCAAGATTTTTATACCTGGAGCTTTGAGTTTGAGCTTCTTGTTCAGACCGCGGGGTTCTGGCAGCTGTATGACGGCACAGCACCATTTCCATCTCACGGGTCACCACTTCAACAAGCCACTTTTCGATCGGCGTCGCTGACTGCATACACAGTTCTCGTTCGTAATCTGACACCGACTGAACAGCTCAGAATTCGTTCTTTTCGTAACAGTGCCGCTCCCGCTGAAGCAGCTTGGTTATACCTGCAAGGGGTTCACATGGCAAAGGATACTGTCAACCAGAGTAAAATTTTGACGCAGCTGTCAAATATACAGATGATAAACGGTGAGAAGGTGACGCAGTACATCAACCGCGCTAGAAATCTGCGCGACCAACTTCAGAAGTGTGGAGGGTACTTCCCCGACGCTATGTTTCACACGGTGCTACTCGCGGGTCTTGGACCAGAATGGCGACAGTGTCGCTCTATACTTCGGATGCAAGCACAGTTGTCCGAGGGGGCACTCTGTGCCGCTCTCATCGCCGAGCAGCAGGATATGGATCTGCACAACGCTCGAGGAGGGAAAAAGATGGTAAACAATACAGTCAGTTTTTATTCTAATCCACGTCACAAGCCCGTTTGTTCTTTTTGTCGAAAACCAGGACACACTATTGATACCTGCTGGTCGAAAGACAAACCATCTTGGAAGCGGTCTACGTCGAAATATAACAAAGATTCTTCAAGTGAAGCAGAGAAGCCGGAAGCAGAGAAGCCGGACGCTGAGAAGCAGAATACTGCGAAGCTGAACTCTGCGAAGCCGACTACTGCACCTGCCAAGACACAAACAAAAGCTGTTATTAATTGCATGACATCAGTTTCAACGGTTTATGATCCTGATGCTGAAGAGCGGATTCACAACCGGTTCAACAACGAACTCAACACACCGATTCCACCTGAGGTCTATGCAAATCTTGCACATACCATTGCAGGTCCCAATACTTGGTACCTCGACAGTTGCTGCGGTCAGCACATGTGTTCGTCAGAGACGCGTTTCATCGTGAATCAACGCCGTCTGGAGAATCCCGTTGTCGTCACGGTCGCCAATAACCAACGACTTACAGCTCACTGGATGGGAAGTATTGTTCTGGACTCAGTTGAAGAAGACTTCAGTCTTCACCTGAACGAAGTTCTTCTGGTCCCTCGGCTTGGCTTCAACCTCATGTCATCTGCACAGCTCATGAAGAACGGGATTACACTTCTCGGTGAACCTGGAAAATTCACTCTGAAATACGGTGAAAAGAAACTCGGCACGGCAGTTGAGCAAAACGGTGTTTTCGTTTTAAACTTCATACCTGAGCGCACTACTGCCGACTCTGATAACATTCTCTCGCTTGGTCCTTGGGAGCATCGCGACGACATTGATTACACCGACGATACAGTTCCACGTGAGGGAGTTGTCCCGACGTCTTCAACCACGGCTGCCGCCGTCATGTTGACCTTCGACGATCAAGACTTGAATGATGTTTAGAACTCCCGGGAGTACATGGCTGCAGTTGAAGGTTGGGGTGATCCGACGAACATGCCGACTGATGACGGCATCTGGGGGGCTGACGAACCTGATGAAACAACTTGGGGCGAGACGCCTACTGAACGCGATGCTCGTCTTCTCGCTGAAGCTGAACAACGCGTCGCTGATATGGAGATTCTTGACTCGGGTCGTCTCGTTGGAGTTGAACCTGTACCTGCAGCATCTGATCAAGAAAGCGGCGAGTTAGTACTTGCTCCAGGCGAGTACGTGGATGTTGAGATTCGTGTTCCACCACCAAATCTTACTTGTTACGTCGCACCTGCTTTCGATCAGATCCGCTCCGATGGTCATCAGCTTCTGTTGTCGTTCTTCGCTAACGCCGAGTATTACCTGCGCGCACAAGGTCACAAAGCCACGGGAGAAACATGGCACAAACGACTTGGTCATCCGTCGCAGTTTACGCTAAACAACACGATCAAGGCTGCAGTGCTTGACAAAAAATCGTTACTCTTACCGAGCGGTCTCGAACTGAAGCCGGTAAATCGCCCGGCACCCTGCACCATCTGCCCTGCGGCGAACCTGCCGCACGAGCCGTTCCCGACTCATTTCCCTGGCGCTGAAGATTATCATATGATGGATAAGGTTTACAGCGATATACTCAACTTACCTGCGGATGGTTTCAACGGCGAACGCTACGTTATCACATTTACAGACGCTTCTACTCATTACGTTTCGACTGGAAACATGACTAACCGTTTTCTTGCGTTTACAGCTTTCCGCACCTGGCTTCCTCTCGCCGAACGAGAGTCTGATACTGAGCTCAAGGCGTTTCAGTGTGACGGCGCCGGCGAGTATCGCAGTACTGAGTTCACAGCCTATCTGCAAGAACGCGGGATAAGACGACTTTTTTCGTTGCCTCACGCTCATCAGCAGAGTGGCGTAGCAGAGAGGCTCAACAGGACTCTGCAAGAGAAGATGCGAGCCCTTCTTGCCCAGGCTCAACTCGGCCCACTCTACTGGCCTTTCGCCATGGACCATGCAACGCTGTTGCACAATCTTCTTTCGTCCTCGGCCCTGCCCAACAATGCATCACCCCACTTGCTGTGGACGGGCAAGTTGGGTACAACTAAATTACTTCGTGTTTTCGGATATGTTGTTCAGTACCGTCCTCCTACCGCTCCGCTCGGGAAGTTTGATCAGCGTGCTAAGTGGGGGCTGCATCTCGGCATTGAAAAACAATATTTTGCCTGGCGTATCATGGATTATCGCAGTCGTCTCCTTGTTCCTGCTCGCGACTGTATTTTCTACGAGAATCTGACGCTGCCCGTCTTCGAACAGCATCTTGCTTCGCATCTTCTGCCCGTCTTGTTCCTGCCACGCTTTTCCACGGTGTTCGTTCGTTTGCTAACGCCGATGTCGAAATTGCTGCCAGCGAAGAACCTGACTCTGACGGTGCACGTGAAGCTGCTCCCGACCCACCTGTCCCTGTCACGTCATCCGGAATTCCGGAGTTTATTCCTCTTGCTGACGTGGCACTTGAGGATGTTCGGGATGTTCATCATACTTACCTCGTGGATGAACAACGCCAACCAATGCCGGTGGTTTCCGATAGCAGCATCCGTGTCAACCCTAACGAAATTGGGGGGGCAAGTGGAGACCAGAATGATTCTGTCAATTTCGCAGGTCGCACCGACGATAATCCACATTATCAGACCGGACTGCAAATTATGGGACTCGCAGCAGCGGTACAGCACAGTTCTACAGTGAATTTGGAGCCGAAAACTTCCCGACAAGCTCTCTCAGGGCCTCATCGCGAAAAATGG